TCCATTGGAATAGAATGTTTGTGTGTTAGGCATAGACAGGGCCAGACATCACAAAATGTTATTTATTTAATAATCACTTAACATCCATTGGAATAGAATGTTACTGTGTTCGGCATAGACAGGGCAAGACATCACAAAATGTTATTTATTTAATAATCACTTAACATGCATTGGAATAAAATGTTTGTGTGTTAGGCATAGACAGGGCAAGACATCACAAAATGTTATTTATTTAAAAATCACTTAACATGCACTGGAATAGAATAGAATGTTTGTGTGTTAGGCATAGACAGGGCAAGACATCACAAAATGTTATTTATTTGTGTAACTGAGAAGACATACATGTACATTTACATATATTTCAATTGCTGGCAACTGAGTATGGCGCCCTGTTTCAATTATCAGTGAATGGGTACTTTCATAAAACATACTAAGTAATTCCAGGGTGATAGATTTTTTGTTTGGTTTGGTTTGGTTTGGTTTTTTTATCAAAAGCAAAAATGTATATTGCCTGTAACTCAGTTCTGTTTACAGCATGTCTCAGAAGTATTTGGTTTACAAAATTGTTTATTTATTTTCCACTACAAAAAATCATTTGCATATGTACATCCCCTACTGCAATATAGACTCGTCAGAGTAGCCTCGGCCACAAGTCGGCGCCAGTGAGATTCAAAAGCCAACTGTTCAGTCAAAACCCAAGCAGTTAACCAATTCACAAGGAGATCACACTGAAACAATACCAACAGGGACTACCGGTATATTGTTTATTGCCTTGATAAATTTTGTTCTAAATGGTTACAAGACAAAACATAATCCTAAAATGTTACTTCAAATAAATACGAACTGGGAAAATGATATTGACAATGATTTGTTAATTACATGGAATGTATCTTGCATGGCTTGCAAAATTCAGTTGGATATAGTATGCAGTTTGTATGGAAATACAAGATGTACATTCTAGTTATTTTCTTCCACAGATACTAGTATGAGTAACATACCTCACTATACACGGTCCAAGTCAAGACACGGAATGAAACAAAACCAGACAATAGCAGAGAAAATAGCAGAGAAAATGAGGGCAGCTAATAATCCTGATGATGATGCTCCGGCCAACAGAAAGAAAAAAGGATTTAAGAGAAGTCATATCAAAATTGAATATGAGGGTGAGAACGAGAGGCTGAATGAGGATTGGAATGAAAGCAAACAATTAAAAACAGTTGATAATCCTGCTATCTGGCAACCTGTCTATTGGAGAGAACAACTTGAAAACATCCAAGAAATGAGGAAGAATCAAGATGCTCCAGTTGATACTATGGGCTGTGAAAGAACAGCTGACACTGCCGTTGGACCTGCAGTAAGTTTCCACTGTCAAATATTAATTTAGTTACAATATATGTAATGTACTGGCTTGTCTTTATGGAAACATTTCATAAAACGTTTCATGGTGTCTAGCTTTGTCATGAAGTATCTGTCAATGCTACAATATCACTATATTAAACTATAGTTAATTTTAAAGGAAAAATGTTGACAAAATTTATCAGTTCAGTTCTAACTTTCAAATTAACAGTACATATTCACTAGTTAGTGATTGGTAACAAGACATGTATACACTTCTTTCTGTAGATGGTTTTTTGTTGTGAATAGTTTGAGTGACAGCTAGTGCATGTAATGCAGTAATAACTCATTAGGTTTAAATTTAACTTTTTTTCACTGATGTGAAATTTGCTAAATTAATTCAAAGCTTTACTGGCAAATCCCATCAACCTCCCCTGTGCGTTGGTCAATACTCGTCATACTATCTTTACTCAGACAGTATACAATCCCATCAACCTCCCCTGTACGTTGGTCAATACTCGTCATACTATCTTTACTCAGACAGTATACATGTACATCACATCAACCCCCCCCCCCCCTATGCATTAGTTAATACTGTCTCCATACTGTCTTTATATTATCTCAATATCTTGCAGGTTTATCGTTACCAAATCTTGGTGTCTTTGATGTTATCAAGTCAGACAAAAGACCAGGTCACATCAGCTGCAATGGACCGACTGAAAACACATGGTCTAACGATAAGCAATATATTGAAAACTTCAGATAAAAAACTTGGTGAACTGATTTACCCAGTGGGATTCTGGAAGGTATTTGACATCAGCCATATATTTGTATTTACAGATAAACCTTAAGGATGCCACGTGTCTCATATCACTGGGTGTTGGAAGTGTGGGATATTCAAACTATACGGCAGGACAAATAATTCTCTCGTGCATCAACAAGCAGCCAGTCGGCTGAGATAGCTCCGCTGTTAGCAATGCACATTTCAATTATTATTAATAAAAACTGAAGATATCAACAATAGGTATAGTATCATAGCAATCAGACTTGCTGTTTTTAACAAGTTAAAAATACCACTTTTACCAAAAATGACAACAATATTCACCAAAATATTCTACCCAAGGTACATGTATATCAAAGCATTCAGACTTGTAGTATCCAAGAAGAAGTCGAAAAAGTAAAAAGTTGATGCGGACGACAATGGATGACGGACGCCGATGGACAATCACTCGTATGATAAGCTCCGCTCGACAAAGTCGACAGCGAAGCTAAAAAAAATTAGCAAAATTGAGTATGCAGTTAGCGATTTGTTGTGATGTTCATTTTTTTTTTTTTTCTTTACTTCAGAGAAAAGTTGAATATATTAAAAAGACAAGTACATTGTTGGAATCACAGTATGACAATGATATACCCAGTACTATCAGTGAACTATGTCAGTTGCCAGGTGTTGGACCTAAAATGGCATACCTATGCATGAACATAGCATGGCATCAAACTACTGGTATTGGTGTTGACACACATGTACATAGAATTAGTAATCGATTGAAGTGGGTTAAATCAACAACTAAAACTCCAGAAGACACCAGAAAAATTCTACAGGAATGGTTACCAAGGTGATTCTTTCATTTATCAACTACTTTTTAGCTCTCATGTGTGTAGAGTCTCAGTCTGAATGAATCAACGCACATAAGCCTCCAATTGTGTCTTTTCCTTGTACCAACTTTGTCCAAGAAATGATAAACAATGCATTTAACCAACATATGTAAATGTTGCTATGTGTAGTATGGGTCCCATATAAATACTACTGCCTTTGATAATTGGTATATAAAAGTACGGTAGTATCACCATAACATCATTTTAACGATGGCTTCATAGCTATTTTCAGTGTTGCTTACTGGTAACTTCCATTTTATTTTGACACCTGTAGGAGCCTCTGGATCGAAATCAATTGGCTATTGGTTGGTTTTGGACAACAGATTTGTCTTTCTGTATCACCTAAATGTCAACAGTGCCTTAATAACCATACATGTCTATTTGGTAAAGCTAATCTTCAGTCAAAAAAAAAGAAAAGAAACTGACCAGTTTGTTGATCTGTGTTTTACTCATTATTCAAATAAAACAGCACACAAGAAAAAAAAGTAAGTGTATACCCGCTTACACAAGTGCTACTAGACAGTTTTGATAATTTTGTTAGTTAACAATGTTTATAGTCAAACCATCTTCTGAATTCCTAAGGCCGGTAACTGATTATCACAAAGCCTGTAGATGAACCACTTTCTGACACTTTCTGACAAGCATCTAGGATGTGTCTTAGCGTTCAAATTTATATACAGTTGAAGTTAAACTATATCTGATATATCTTTGACAGGACGACTTGATAAAAACAGTTGACTCTGAGCAGTGTTAACCATCTTGGCTATACAACTTTGTTGAAATGAATTTTAAACATTCCTGTGGATTTGCATGCACTTTATGTACGAGGGGAAACAATTTCAAAATGATGTTAATTCATAATGTGTTCAACGAAAATGTAGCCGTAGCCAATTTATTTATTACAACCAAATATGATAATGTTGTTGTATTAGGTATACTCCTGTATGCATATTTAATAAAGCAGCATTATGCCATTATCTTGGAATGCCAAGCAGTCACCCTGTATTAAGGAGTAGGTAAATAGTCAGCAATATTGTGCTCATCAAATCAGGATGAAATCCTTATCACAAACTGTGAGTAAAATTAAGATAAAGGCTCACACTTAAATAAATTGAGATGGGTAGAAGAGTAACTACTGTTTAATATTTTTATTTTGAAGTCGGTGAGATATTTGAAACGTTGTATGAAAATACATACAAAAATATACCCAAATTTTGAAAAGATAAAGTGTAAACAGAAATTTATGAATACACATGTACATAAAAAGATCCCTCAATTTCAAATCAACCAACCTTCAATGTATGCAAAACATAACAAGTGCATCTTCATCTTTTTTACATACTCAATAACACTGCCATCTGGTTTATATCAAAATATTTTGTTTTTATTTTCATAATAAAACATTTATCAACATACTGCATATGAATCTATCTAAAGTGTGCCTGATTTAAGTGTTGAGATTTAGTGTGCTTTTATAAAAGATTCAGTTTGAGAAAATGTGTCAAACAGGTTGCAAGTAAGAATTAAATTAATTTATTACATCTACTTATGAAAGAATAACAAAAAATGGGCTACAGTTATGATGGCTAGGAATTGAAGACATTATCCAGTTATTCTGAACACCCAATGACATACTGTCTTGTCACATTAAAATAGCTGCCTGTCAGCAATCTTTAATCATAGCTGTCTGTCAGTCATCTCGAATTACCAGGGTATAGCTGCCTGTCGGCCATCTTGAATTACCAGGGTATAGCTGCCTGTCGGCCATCTTGAATCATAGCTGTCTGTCAGTCATCTCGAATTATCAGGGTATAGCTGCCTGTCGGCCATCTTGAATCATAGCTGTCTGTCAGCCATCTTGAATCATAGCTGTCTGTCAGCCATCTTGAATTACCAGGGTATAGCTGCCTGTCAGTCATCTTGAATTACCAGGGTATAGCTGCCTGTCAGCAATCTTTAATCATAGCTGTCTGTCAGTCATCTTGAATTACCAGGGTATAGCTGCCTGTCAGCCATCTTGAATCATAGCTGCCTGTCAGCCATCTTTAATCATAGCTGTCAGTCATATGTGACATAAAGTATGATTGCCTGTGATCAGTCAAGGCATGTCAGAGATATGGCTCTGCAATAGCATTCATTAAAATGAATATTGTGTGAAAAACAAAATACTGTGCATCACGGGCCAAGCAGACGAAGCTGTAACAAGAAATCTGTCATCTGTTTTAGAATGACACAAATAGACACACCCAGGTCAATCCCTAAATCCAGTCTTACTGTAAGTGATCACTGTCTGAGACACACACAGATCAATCCCTAAATCCAGTCCTACTGTGGGTGATTACTTTCTGAGCCACACACAGGTCAATCCCTAAATCCAGTCTTACTGTGGGTGATTACTTTCTGAGCCACACACAGGTCAATCCCTAAATCCAGTCTTACTGTGGGTGATCACTTTCTAAGACACACACAGATCAATCCCTAAATCCAGTCATACTGTAGGTGATCACTGTCTGAGACACACACAGATCAATCCCTAAATCCAGTCCTACTGTAGGTGATCACTGTCTGAGACACACACAGATCAATCCCTAAATCCAGTCTTACTGTAGGTGATCACTGTCTAAGACACACACAGATCAATCCCCAAATCCAGTCCTACTGTAAGTGATCACTATCTGAGCCACACATAGGTCAATCCCTAAATCCAGTCGTACTGTAGGTGATCACTGTGAGACACACACAGATCAATCCCTAAATCCAGTCCTACTGTAGGTGATCACTGTCTGAGACACACACAGGTCAATCCCTAAATCCAGTCTTACTGTAGGTGATCACTGTCTGAGACACACACAGATCAATCCCCAAATCCAGTCTTACTGTAGGTGATCACTGTCTGAGACACACACAGATCAATCCCTAAATCCAGTTCTACTGTAAGTGATCACTGTCTGAGCCACACACAGGTCAATCCCTAAATCCAGTCTTACTGTGGGTGATCACTGTCTGAGACACACACAGGTCAATCCCTAAATCCAGTCTTACTGTAGGTGATCACTGTCTGAGACACACACAGGTCAATCCCCAAATCCAGTCTTACTGTAAGTGATCACTGTCTGAGCTACACACAGATCAATCTGTAGGTGATTACTGTCCGAGACACACACAGGTCAATCCCCATATCCAGTCTTACTGTAGGTGATCACTGTCTAAGACACACACAGATCAATCCCTAAATCCAGTTT